AAGCAGCGGCTGTAGTCCACAAACCAAAATCCGAAGCCAGTTTCTGCATTGTGTCGTTTCTTTATTTGTGCGACCTACAGATAATGACTCGACTGCTATTCAAACAAAACGGTTCACTGGACTGTACAGAATTTTACCAAAAAAGAGAGAGTATTTTAAAGTCCAGGAATTTGTGTAGAAACCTCGGATCGTCTTATGTTGCCTTATTCCAAATAGGGAATGCTGATGAAAATCGGCGTTTCAACAAAGCAACGACTCTAAAAACACCAAAATCCCAGGACCTCGATCCAACAGAACTCCTTTGGGTTGACATGAAACATTAATTCTGTGAGGAAAACAAACAAGAGAAACGGAGAAATGTTTGCATATCTGTTCACAGGTGTCAGAATGAAAAAAAAAAATACGGTGGAGTTTCCTCCAGCGAGAGACAATAAAGCAGCTTCTTCTTCCATTGTACGTTAGAAGGTGTTCCTGAAGATAACACAGCTCCCGTTGGTCGTTGTACATCCTCTGTGCAGACTCTGGCAGTAGCAGCATCCAGCCCAGAGTGCTGCCAGCCGTGCGAACTCCCACAAAATCCAGCAAGTCTTCCAACGCCAACAGCCGTCAAACCGCGGAGCAGAGCGACAGCAGGGAGGCTGCGGCCGAGGCCTACCTGGAGGAGGCACACCGAGAAGCGGGTTTCTCCAAGCCATACACGGTGAGTCTGAGCCCGGTGTAAAGGCTTACACCGCCTGATGATTTCTCTCTTCGTTAGACGTTTAGCACACATCAAAAACATTTCCAAAACCCACCTCACGAGAATTTCCGCAGGCCGTAGAGCCAGCGGTGAACTCCCCCCTACCAGAATGTGACACGATTTCCACTGTTTTAATTTTCGTTTCACCCCAAACGATTGTGCTAACTCCAGATTCTTGGACTTAAAACTGTCTGCAGGAGCTGCTGCCGTCACAGCAGGAGCAGCTCCAGCAAAGGGCAGCGTATCTGCGTCAGCAGCGGGACAAGCTGCACGCCCTGAAGAAAGAACAGCAGAAAATCAGACAGACGGCCGCCCTGGAGGAGCCACCAGCCAGCCCTACACCAGCACCAACCGCCAACTCGGTAAGTACAGCCTTCCGTCTTTCCAAATGAATAACTTTAAGCTCTCACTTAAAGTATTAGGTTTGTTAGAATTTGCCAAATTACTTGTGTTTGCTAAAAGCCAGAAAACCCAGCAAGAGCATTTTTTAAGAGGTTGTTTTGTGACTTTCTTTGTATATCGTGTTTAAGCTTAATTTGAGCAGGAAGATCATTCAGCTTGACATGATTTATTTGGATTGTTTCAATTTAATGAATATTTCTAATCCCCGATGGCTCTATGACTTACTGATTTGTGCAATTGAAATAAGGTTTATCTTATATATTCGCATTAAACAAAGTCATTACGATTGGGGGACGTTTTGTTTTGTGTGCGTGTTTGTGTGAGCAAAACATGTCAAAACAAAAATTTCCTTATGTTTTAGTTTGAAAAAGTAACTTGAAAATGCTTGAAAAGTGTTTGAATTTTACTGTGGGAAAGGTGTACGCACCCTGCACCATGTTTTAAGTTCTCAGCTCACCATTGATTTTCAGTGACTTTCCTCCTTTCTTTTTACTCCTGACATTTTTTTTCCATTTCATTTTCATTCTTTAATTCCTTCTTGCTGTGTGTGATCTCGTGCGCTCCGGTCCGTCAGGAGGCAGAGGGAGAGCCCCAGATGAACGGGGCCGGCTCCCCTCCTCCTCCATTACAACACTCGACTAACTCCGCCAAACAGAAGGTGATCCATCAGCTCCCTGATGTGAACACAGTCGGTGCCTTGCAAATGTTTTCACACCTCCGAACTTTCAGCAAATCCATTGGGGAAGGGAACTTTGCCATGTGACAAAGTATGTGGAAAAGTTAGAGGTGTGAACACCGTTTGAAAGCACAGTAAACTTAGTGTTTACCACTAGTGTTACCGTGGTTTTGTTTTCTCCCACATAGACGAAACTTTAGGTGTTGAAACCTAATCTTTTGGAAAGAGATTATTCTAGTTAATTCAAAGATGCACATGCTAGCTTAGAAGCTAGCGCGCGTTCATTCTGTTAACATTCGGGCCGAAGCTGTTGCTCAGCATCACTGACCTCTTCTGCCTGTTCTGACCTCTTCACACAGGAGATTTCTGCTGAGGAAAAGAAGAAGCTCCAGAAGAGAAAACATCTGGCTGACAAGCTGAAGGAGGAAGTCATCAAGAAATAATAAGTCGATGCGTATGCAATAAGTTATCCAGTCTCATCCCTGTTCTCGAACACACAGAACACTAATTAACTTTATACAGCACCTGATTTTTTTTTCAAAGGAAAGTAGAAAATTGACTATTCTTTTTGCTGAAGTGATGCTTCTGACTTTTTCACTAAGGAACTTTATTATTAACTAAACAGCCAATCTCCTGCAGCAGTATGCTACTGGATGATATACTTAGCTTTTGTCCAAAATCACTCCCTAGTACGAAGTGTCATTTTGTCATTATGTTTGAATCCAGTTTCCAGAAACCGACATACATTGGGATATTAGTTCTCAATTTGTAAATATCTCCAGAGCTGCAAGAATTAACTCATAATCATTTGTTTTCCCACAAAAATGCTGCTGAAATCACAGCTGAATATTCTTCAGATTTGAGGTAAAAAAATATTATTTATATATTACTGCGACTGATAAAATACATAAGATAGCGGCTTAAAGATATTACTCAAATTATGTTCTAAAGTTAAGTGTTTTAGCTTAAAAATTACATTTTATAGCTGAGTGGGAGCGAGTTAAGGCACCGTCATGGGGGTGCAAATGTGCAAAGAAGGCGGTGATGGCGCCTTAGGTAAGGTACAGATGGCCAAATGAAGTCACTGAGATAAAAGTATATGTGCATAAATATTTCAGTACTTCAAAAAGTGAACCTCCTATAGAATAATTACAGTGATACATTTAAATATTTTTTCTCATTTTGACGATCACAGCTTATGGAAATCCACTCATTTCATTATGTTCATTTTTTTTTAAATGTACTTTCTGCATTAGCTCAAAAATCTTGTTTTGTAGCAGTGATTGGGAGTTGAGGCGCAAGCTTGAAAATGGAGAACAAAGTTTGTGTCAGTTACGTAAAATGGAAACTACCCATGCGATGACAGTGCTAGCTTGCGCATGTTCGGCTTTTCACACCGTTTCCATTAGCAAAGGGAAGCTTCCTCCGTTCACACGGTTGATCCTTATATTAGTCAAGAGTTCATGAGATTAACACTAATCACATATTCCTAAAGGGGCCAAGAAGGTGATGTGGTTCCTTCACACGAGTGCAGCATTTATCCTCAAAGCAATCAGCAGTTTTCACTTCAAGCATGTATGATGCACCGGTTTGTGTTTGTATGTATGTGTTCTACATGCTTGTTTTAATAAATCACATTTTGTAGAAACAACTTGAACTCCGGGCTATAGAAATAACAGTAAAGGTCAAAGGTGGCTCGGTCATACGTTGCCTCTTAAGCTGTTGTAAGCTCGTAGAAAGGCGTCACTTGTTAATCACAAATTAGCATCTATTTACAACCGGATGCACTGATCATATTGTCAACGAGTGATGCTAAACCCAGGCTGGAGAGAAAAGAATGAAACCATATTAAAAAAAGAATAAATAAATAAATCACAAATTCAATGTCAGGATCACATTTAATTTCAAAACTTATCAAATAAATTCATACAAATGTTAAGAATGGATAGTGGTACTAAATGCACTTGGTACAAATTGACTCAGCAGAATCAGTCTTTGTTGGGTGACGCCGACAGAAAGGAGCAATAAGCCAGTTCCCCGCTCAGGTCCAGACGTTTCACTCGCTTTGACCCCACAGCTTTCGTTCTCCGACAGTTTCGAATCCCTTCATCTGACGTTGTGCGTTTTGACCGTGTAAAACACGACATTAAAAAGCTACACTGCCTCAACCGCAGGAGGGGCGTGAAGGGGGTCAAATCAGGTCTTAATCAGAACTAAAGAAATGGCTCACCCGTTCTTACATCAAATCATTGCAGCACGTTTCCTTCAACTTATTTAACTGCATGAAGGGGGAGGAGGGGGGGGGGGGAAACATATGTAGAGAAAAGTTACTTTTAGTCGCCTGGTAACCAACTCTGCACCTGAGATCTGTCTGAAAGTCGAATTTCTCGCCCTCGTTTCAGGTCGGACTCGGGTAAAACCAAAACCGGAGCCGATCCATCCGGTTGCAGATCGCCGAACTCAAAAGTGACAAAAAAAAAAAAAAAAAAACTCCAAACATCCTCAAAACGTTGGCCACAAACGTGACTTTGCCACAGTTATGTCGAATCCTTAAAACTGACATGTTGAACTTTTTCCAGAGTTTACACTGAATCAAATGAAATCGCCTAAAAAAAAAAAAAAAGGGGATCAGTGATCCCCCATCATTTTTTGTGCTGTGAAAAAAAAAAAAAAGACTAAAAATCAGGTGGGCTTCTTCCTCCTCTTTCAAAACCACGCCGAGGAAGAGGGGTGAAATGTTTAGAAAGGGCAAAGAAACATATGTACAGTACTTTAACAAACTCGTGAAATGCAACACTCCTGGCTAACACAATCCCGCAAAATATTGTGTTAAAGTTCTGTGTTCTGTGCGCCTCGCCACCAAAACGGATGCCATGGCTTTTTTAACGTTCGAGTCCTGCTCTACTGGAGCTAAGCCTTCATTCCCCCCCCTTCATTTAATGTTTCTACGCTGCCTGAATCCCTCTGAATCTGACCGGGTGGCACACAATCAGCTCCAGCCAGTCAAATCTGAGGGCTAGTCCCGCTAGCCTGGGCGGCCGGCTGAACAGTTTGTACGCTGGCTGGTCGGGTTTTTGGCTTCTTCTTGCCTCACTGGTTCGATTTGGAGATGGATGTAGAGGCTTTCTGGCTGTTGCAGCAACAGAAATACAAAGGGAACAAAAAAACAAAAAAACTGGTGTCTGAACTGGTGTTGCCATGTCATGTTTTGACAGTTGATTGAAGAAAAGGGAAAAAACCGTGGTAAAAAAGAAATGGAAGAAGAGATTTGGATTTCCCAAACAGGGTTATATGTTTAATAAAAAAATGGGGGGAAGGGGGAGAAGTAAAAAAAAAAAAGAAAGAAAGAAAAAGACAGCCTATGGAAATAGACTGCAATCTGTCTTTCCAGAGAAGCTCTCCACCTCCTTCCAGAGAGGGACAAGGAGCAGAGTTCAGGACTGAGGAAAGGCGGGAGGCTCGTCTGGCTCGGTGCAACGCCTCTGAGAGACCAGAGGGTGGCGCGAGAAGGCCGAGGACCAATGAGACGGCCAGGGGAAAGAGGAAATGGGAGGGATTCCACGTCCTCCGCCATGGCCGAACCAGAGAGAGCTATTATAAGCCTTAAGAGCTCAGACGGGGTCGCTTTCTCGGAGACTGCTCCTCCTCCTCCTCATCTTCCTCCTCTTCATCCTCATCGTCAGGGTAGTCCACCAATCCGACAAGAGCAGTCTAAAAGGAAAACAGAGAAAACACTGAAAGTTCCTACATGCTTGAAATAAATTAAGAAAGAGGCATTTACATTTTTTTTTTAATGGCAGTAATACACGCTTGTGACGTTTGGTTACCTTAACAACAGGAGTGGCAGGAAGAGCAACTGTTTTGACAGACGAAGACGAGCTGTTGCTTGACGTGACGGCTGGCGAGGCGGGTGGGATGGCAGCAGACTTGCCATTGTTGGCACCGTTGGCGGCTCCTGCGGCGACAGAGGGCGACCATGTCGTGATTCAGGAGTTCAATGCAAAAGTTTTCGGAGCGTCAAACATTCGCAGCTGAACAGATTACCTTTTTTGGCTTCCATGAACTTTTCGTAGCTGTCGGAAAAATCATCGTCCATCCTCCTCTCCACCGCTTCGCCGTCTTCGTCGTCGTCATCGTCATTGAACCACAACTCTTCGTCCTCGTCCATAGACCGCGCGTCTCTACGATACCTGATGATAACAGGTTTCATGTAGAATATCGTAAGGAAATCAAAGTCATGATTGAGAATGGAGAATACTAATAGTTGCCAACAACCTGAAGGGATAGTACAGGGTTTTTAAAACTGGGATTCTATAAATAACCACATACATGGTGCCTTTAAAAAAAAATACAAATCTTTCAAAGTCTTGCGCCTACCTGTAACTAGCAGCTAATATACCCTTGCTAGCAACCTACTGTTTTTGCTTCCATCATGAGAACAAAGCCTGGTTCACAGTTTTTGCTGCACTTGATTGTTATGCATCAAGCTCCCCCAAACATTCCTTATATTTATAGTTTTTTTGGCTTTAAATTTCATTCAGGGTGAAATTAAGATGATCTTAAAAAGTCTTAAATTTGACTTTCTGAAACCTGCAGATATCCTGAAGCAGCTAATATCTTACATGCAGTAATTAAATGTCTTAGTATCTTTATTTGATCAAAGTCCAGATATTTGTGACCTGGAAACTGAGGCCAACAGCCAGTCAAAGAAGCTGCCAAGACCATCCAAAAACACGTACTTATGTAAGCTTAAATAAACTGATACGTTGTTGAATGCAGAAGTCTCTTTTGCTCTTGGACAAACGCTCTTGGATTTCACCAAAAGTCATCTACTGGAGGTAAGACATTTACTGTTTGTACCTTTTATCAGAAACTCACCACACAAATCCTAATCCGTCCCTTAAAGAAAACAACTACATCAATAATTTTACAGTCTTCACTGACCTGTTGAGTTTCTGACTCTGCCGGTCCTTTTCCTGCTCATATCGGCCTTTCAGGCCCTTGAAAGTCTGAACGTACTCGATGGATTCAAGTGCTTTGTAGAAATTATCTACGATGTGAGCTATGAGAGATTTGATGTCCTCCTGTGGAGAGGAGAAAAAAAATTTGAAACTTTCTGAGAAGTCAAGGGACATATTTTTAATCTGGGTAGGAATTTAACGTTTACGTACCACTTTGATGAACTCGAAGAGCTCGATGATGGCCGAGTTGAGGAGGTTGTATCGGGTGCCGTTGTCCAGCAGGGCATTGATGACGGGTTCAAACAGGTTCCCTTTGATGATGTAGCGATTGTAGTACTCGTCTTTCAGTCCAATGATTCTCCGCATGAAGCGCAGCGCACCTTCGCCAAAGAAAAACCATCATGTTTCAAGTGAAGCCCTATAACTAGAACTGTAAGATTTTTTTTTTGGGGGGGGGGGGGGGGGAGACAACAAAAAGGTTTTAGGGTTGGGTTTTAAAAAAAACACGAA